TAATTCTTTAAAATTTAAAAAAAAAATCCATAATAGAATTTGCCATAAATGCCACCAAGCGCGATAATCCCAAAAGGCTTATCACTTATTAAGCCTCTCGTGTCATATGGGAATAATGTACAGTGAGTTGTATAACCGGTGTAATACACTCTAGTGAAATAGTCAGAGTAAGATGGAACTTTGGATGACAGATAGAATGATATTTAATTCATTATGAGTATAGGTACTTAATGTATTACGAAGTATGGAAGTTCAAATGCCGAGCGCAGCGAGGCGAATTCATATAATACCTATACTGATACAGATGATAATACAAAATAGTAGAATTTCGCTTGTATATCTACGATAACAATGTGTGTTTATTTTATTGCAACATCTTCTTGAAGATAAACTAACGTATACTCTGCAGTCTGCCGGAAAATGATAACAAAAATCACTGTATATAACGTTAGAAATCAAAATAATAATTATAATTTGGGAGAGCATGGATGGAATCATAGAAAAATATGAAGATGCGATGTTCAGATGGATATAGGTAGTACCTACATGTTACATTACCAAACGTGTGACGTAATGTCCCATTTTCCCGGACTGACATTCATGACGTCGTAGAATAGTATATAGACCGTGAGATAGGGCTGTTTAGTGGAGTCATTTTTTTTGTCTGGCATTTTGAGGGCTGAATGTGGCTAGTTAGCCGATGAGAATATGGGTGATTTTAATGCCTGCCTCCCGTTCGAAAATTTGCAGAAGACAAAAATTGATTTACATGAAGAATCTTTGTTAAATGATCTCAAATTTTCTGGCTTTTAAATAAAAGATTGACATTGATAAATAATTCACCCATGAAAAATACCAGATGCTTTTCAATAGCTGAAAAAGTGGGGATGGGTGTCAACTTCCAAGAGAAAAGAAAAGAACTTTTCGCGTTTACTTTTTGTCTGGCAATCGAGAGAATGAAAGGTTTTGTTGTGAAAATGACGCTGAAAAATCGCCAGACGGTAATCACAGTTAAAAATCGAGTTTTCTGGCGATACATTTTGTGGACATTTCGAACAGGCGGCAGGCATTAAAACCACTTATATTCTCATCAGCTAACTAGCCACATTCATGCCTCAAAATGCCAGACAAAAAAAAAAGACTCCACTAAACAATCCCTATCTCAGGGTCTAATACGCTGGACAGTGAAATAAAATGACATAATATGTAAGAAAATACTGAACATGCGGTTCAGCTGAAACTGACTCACCAAGTTAGAATGATTAACCGCGTGTTGCTAAATTCACCTAAATGGTGCACTGCCACGGATGCGGCGATTGAAATTCATTAATGCCATTGCCAAACCATAGCTTGTCAAACCCTGTTTAATGTAACAACACTGCTTTCTCTACCATTCCACCACAGTGCCTAGTGCCTTCACCAGTTGAATTTAGCCACACGCGGTTTGTGGTGTAATGCTAGTTCCAAGCAACGGGCTGGTTAACAACGATTTATCAAAGTTTGAGTTAATATAGAAAAAAAAAATCAAAAAAAAAAAAATAAAATCCATAAAAAGTCTGCCGTTCCATCTTATGACTCAAAATATTTATTATTAAAACTAAAATGTTGCTGGTGAATATAGATAAAATATTTGAAAAATAATTTCCTTTTAGGTTATTAAACTACCTACTTAAGTTAGTACTCAATAAGTGAGAAAAGTGGTACTCACATTGCGTAGGTCCTAACTTTCTATTAAACAGACATCAAAACTACCTCTTAGTGAACATAAAATTTTCTTTCTCTCATCTAAGAGCAGAATGGAAATAGTTGCCGCACTTTCAAAAGTTGCTGAATAAAGTAAAGTAAGAGTAAGAAGCCTTCAGCATCTAAAATAAAAAGAGGAAATTCATAAATTAGAACAACAAATTACTCTTGCACAACTACCGTTACTAATAAGCTATAGTTAGCATGGCTTATTGGATAGGTGTCCAGTCCGATCCTCCTTTGACATCTCATCAAAATAAAAGGAATCCATTTCCTGATTTTTAAATCACATTTATCCCATTCACTCATATAAATGGAGTCTCCAATGCCACTCATCTAATTCAGGAAAAAAAAAATTATGCGTGTGAGTTATAGCAAGGGGTGTACTGTCCCCACTGGTAGTAGATGAACTTGACGCGCTAAGCGCCCAAAACATCACGGTCCTAGGATATGCTGTCGATCTCACAGTCATCATTAGGGGTAAGCATGCCAGTATCATTAGTGACATCATGCAAAATGCTCTATTTAAATGGTATACAAATCAACTTCGCAACTGAGGTTAAGTATCTGGGAATCATCTTGGCTCGGAGACTTGTTGGTTCCAAGATGTGGAACCAACATCTTAAAAGAGTAACCGACCGGGCAATATCCACATACTGGGCATGCCGGAGATTATTCAGTAAGACTAAAGGGCTAAAGCCAGAAATGATGTAAGTATTGGTTAAGTGATAAATGTTTGAGGTGGATTTATAATATTACCTTGCATTTTTTGGGACTAACACCTCAATTGAAATTATTACCAGAAGTTTCTTGATCTTGATACGAATTACTAGAAGCTCTCGATCTGATTAGAGCAATTTTACCTATAAGATTATTTTTATAAAATAAAATAAAATACTCGAATCGAGGTTTATTTTATTTCAATAAAATAATACTTAGGAGGTATGACTTCTGGATTTTTTGCTGTAGTATATTGTTGTATTAGGAGTAGAAGCTTTACTTTTTTGTGCTGAAGAAGTAGGTTTGCGAGCCGAACGTATTGAGGCTTGCAATACTAGCTGAAGCACAAAAAAGTGCTTCAAAAACTTTGCCCTGGGGTATTAACACCCTCATAATTCCCTTGATACATAAATAACTATAATTGCCTACTTGGATATTAATTTCATGGCAAGACTCGAAGTCCGAGTTGGAAAAAAATACGCAAATCTCAATATTTATGCATTTTTACTTGTTAAGGGTAGTTTTTCATATTTCGACGGGGTTTGAGTTAATGGGATTTTGCATGGGGGTTGGAGATGATGTTGAAATAGTACCCTATCAATTTCATGGCAAGACTCGAAGTCCAAGTTAGAAAATAATACGAAAATCTCAATATTTATGCCATTTTCACTTGTTAAGGTAAGTTTTTTTATGTTTCGACGGGGTTTGAGTTAATGGTATTCTGCATGGGGGTTGGAGATGATGTTGAAATAGTACCGTATCAATTCCATGGCAAGACTCGAAGTCCAAGTTAGAAAAAAATACGAAAATCTCAATATTTATGCATTTTCACTTGTTAAGGGTAGTTTTTCACATTTCGACGGGATATGAGTCAATGGAATTTTGCATGGGGGTTGAAGATGATGTTGAAATAGTACCATATCAATTTCATGGCTAGACTCGAAGTCCAAGTTAGAAAAAAATAGGAAAATCTCAATATTTATGCATTTTCACTTGTTAAGGGTAGTTTTTCATATTTCAACGGAGTTTGAGTCAATGGGATTTTGCATGGGGGTTGGAGATGATGTTGAAATAGTACCCTATCAATTTCATGGCAAGACTCGAAGTACAAGTTAGAAAAAAATACGAAAATCTCAATATTTATGCATTTTCACTTGTTAAGGGAAGTTTTTCATATTTCGACGGCGTTTGAGTCAATGGGATTTTGCTTGGTGGTTGGGGATGGTGCTAAAAGAGTACCCTATTAATTTCATGGCAAGACTCGAATCGAAGTCCGAGTTGGAAAAAAATACGAAAATCTCAATATTTATGCATTTTTACTTGTTAACGGTAGTTTTTCATATTTCGACGGGGTTTGAGTTAATGGGATTTTGCATGGGGGTTGAAGATGATGTTGAAATAGTACCCGATCAATTTCATGGCAAGACTCGAAGTCCAAGTTAGAAAAAAATACGAAAATCTCAATATTTATGCATTTTCACTTGTTAAGGGTAGTTTTTCATGTTTCGACGGGGGTTGAGTCAATGGGATTTTGCATGGGGATTGGGGATAATGCTGAAAGAGTACTCTATTAAGAACGAAGTCACTTTAAAAAAGATGACTATGAGTGATTATTGCTTAGATAGAATTAGAATAGAACAAGAACAAATTCGGAGGAAAAAATTAAATGACAAAAATTATGAGACGGATGAAATTTGTTCATTGAAAATCTCAATCTCTCGTAAATAAAGTAGAGTATACTACTCGCAATAATGGCTATTATTCCCTCGGAATGTTACTCCCTCGCCGCTAACGCGGCTCAGTTCGTAATAATCCTCGGGAATAATAGCTATCATTATTGACTCGTGGTATAATCTACTATTACACGGCAGAAAATCAGATTGAATGAGAGATTGCACATACTAAAGTCCTGCTGGATGCGCTTCTAGAAGTACTTTTGTACAGAGGCTATGTCCTGCGGAGAAGACGTACAACTGCAAATGGAGTTGTCCTTCCGGCAGGACACATTTCGATACTGCCGGTAGTTGCATGACGCCGGAAACGGATCGGCAACGCATGCCGTGCGCTCCCGCTTGCATATAATTTTTACGTATGGCAAGCTTAAACTTTTAAAACGCTAATGTCTTTCGTAAATGACATCGTACAATTCCGGAAAAAAAATTCGCGAAAAGTTTGAAATTTGCTCGACAACTATATTTAAAAATAAGTCCTGCCAAACGTACGCATTATAGTGCTTTAAATTCGTATTTATTAAATAACGTAGGTACTACATTGCGCCTTTTTAGTACTGCCGGCAGGACGCTGTGCAATGTGGACTAGGCTTCGGCTATGAAACACCAGCCGCGGCATTGAATCTTTTGCTTTTCTGCCTAGTAAAACAAATAACTATTTTCGATGCTTTGAACTGGCGAATATATCAATACAGGTGCTTTTGTTTATATCAGGCGTCGCGGACTTATATGAGTTCAATGTAGGTTGATTCCAACAAGAATAATAAATGAAAAAAACAAATTTATAATTTGGGTTTTTACATAAAATTAGATCATCACCTTAGATTCGATTACTTGTCCACTATGGCATATAAAGAATCCAACTGAGATAAACAACACCATAAAGATAGATAGTTTTTCATCTGAAGCCTAGAAAATAAATAATTATTAATTAACATAAAAAAATATTCAAACAATAACCATTGTAAATTGATGCGCCAAACCTCCCAACAATATTGGATAAACTATAGTCAAATGTCCTGTAGTACTTTTAGCGACTGGTCTTAACTGTTCGCATAGTCTAAAAAAAAACCTCTATCAGTTTTTTTTTTTTTCGAAAAATAAAGTTGTTATGCAACTCTCCCTGAAAAAGGGAGAGACTACACTTAAGACTGTAGGTATCATATGATGCAGGCTGTAGGTGACCTAACTACATGTAGGTACCTATACTTAATAATTTTTTGATATTTTCTATAACATACTTCAATCAAAACTTATAGAATCGTATGTCCTAACTGGATGATCTCTCAACGCACAGCCATAACTACGTCTTGGAAGTTGAAATTTCGAACATAGGTTTATTTTATGACCAAAGCATCCGCTTAAAAAAGATTTTTGGAAATATCAACTTTAAGGCGGTGGTGGGAACTTTGGGAAAATCTACGAGAATTCTAGACACTTCCGAGTTGATAAGTTTCGCATATGAAAGCGGGTAGTTTGTAAGTTGCAGTTAGTTTTGAGAGAGAAGTTGTAGAAATTTAACTAAAAGCGATTAGTGAATTCGTCGATCAGTTCAATAATAGTATATTATGGAATGATCAAGTAATAATAGCCATTAATACACGAGCATGTTGTAGGATACATATAAAATGCGAGTGTATTAATGGCCATTGCATGAGCGTTGCATACACTATTTTTTCTACCTCTATTAATAAACGAAATACATATTCATTTTAAGAATAGTAAACTTCTCAACTGGTGGTGCATTCAATTTCGAAAATTAAAATCTAGACGTCATTTGGGCATAAATTCCGCACCCGATTTATCATTTTTTTGATAAATACTAATAGAGAAAATCCAAAATTCCAAAAGAAGTCAGTTATTTTCATATAGACATTGTTCATATTCAAAATAACTCGATTCCAGTGGCTGAAAAATCTGTATCATAATGAAAATCTGTATCATAATGAAGTTCATTATGAAACATCAGTAGAAAATAGTATATTGTTATATTAGGAGTAGAAGCTTTACTTTTTTGTGCTGAAGCAGTAGGTTTGCGAGCCGAACGTAGTGAGGCTTGCAATACTGCTGAAGCACAAAAAAGTGCTTCTACTCCGTATGCAACACGCTATTTTTTCTCCAAACGAATGGGGTAAGGTCGGGGACAAGTGGATGGTTAAGCGGCAGTAAAAGTACGAGCGGCACTAAAAGTACTTTTGCTGCCGCTCCAGCGGCACTAAAAGTACTTCTACTGCCGCTGCGGTTGCCTAGCAGCATAGAATAGTATATTGTTGTATTAGGAGTAGAAGCTTTACTTTTTTGTGCTGAAGCAGTAGGTTTGCGAGCCGAACGTAGTGAAGCACAAAAAAGTGCTTCTACTCCGTATGCAATATGCTATTTTTTCTCCAAAGGAATGGGGTAAGCTCGGGGGTAACTGAATGGTTCAGCGGCAGTAAAAGTACGAACGGCACTAAAAGTACTTTTGCTGCCGCTCCAGCGGCACTAAAAGTACTTCTACTGCCGCTGCGGTTGCCTAACAGCATAGAAATTAAATTTCTACCAATTCGACAGGTATTAACCCGCTGAATTTGCCTACCAGCATAGAAATTAAATTTCTAACATCTTGACAGGTGCTGACAAAGTGACGTTTTTTTGACGTTTGGAGAAAAATTAAATTTCTACCACCTCGACAGGTGTTAACCCGCTGGATTTGCCTAGCAGCATAGAAATCAAATTTCTGACATCTTGACTGGGGTTAACAAAGTGACGTTTTTTTGACGTTTGGAGAAAAAATTTGTTGTGGTATGTGACTAGAGTTTTAGAGGACCCGTGGAATTTTTGACAATTTGGTGTCAGAAGTAGATGATTAACGAGGCAATTAGGCGATTCGAATCAGCTGATAATTCAAGATGGCGATGCGGCACGGATGTAAACAAACCATAGAGATTAAACATTGCCTCCATATAAAGCCTAGTACTCATAACATCGAAATTCGCTCTTTTTGACATTGCTTCGACCATATGACCTTTCATGCGTGAATCAAACGTCAAATTGTCGAAGCAAGGTAAAAAAAGAGCGAATTTCGCGGTTATGAGTATTATGCTTAAATGTGTGTAATTTGATGAATTTTAATTTATTTCAATTTCCTTCAATATTCGTAGTTAAAACCGAGTTACTTGGAATATTTATCCCTCAATAAAATACCTGCAGGGCATCAGGTACAAATCGTGTGTGCAAATAAATGACAAAAACATAAATTACATGAACCACAGCAACTTGAAAAATAAAAATTTATATCAAACAACTTTCTCAAACTGATAAAAACACTTTAGAAATTCACAGAAAATACACAGTCTCTTATGGACGTCAAATTTTTTATGCCGCGGCGCCAACTTGAACGCCAAACATCAAATCGCCCTATTGGTGTATTGATTTGAGCAAAATCGTGAAATAATTGTGGAGAAAACTAATAGATTGATTTGGGCAATTAGTGATATAATTATTAGTGGATTGATTTGAGATTATTGGTGGATTTGATCTCGGAAAACAATTTCACAAACGGGTTTTCTCGAATATCACAGAACATTCTTTAGTGTTCTATTATTTGGAAACCGTTAATGATACAATAACTTTATTACTGAAATAGAATAGACACCGAAGACACCGCAACATTATAATATTGCGTTCGAGATTCGCCATGGGAATCAACATCGGCGGCAGCTTTACCAGACCGATATAAACAAGGCAACAGAAAACTCTCCAAAGTTCACCAGCATTTGAAACCGATATTTGACGTTTGGTTAATTTGACCTACCCAAGAGCTACAATAGAAATGCAATAACAAGTAGCGGAAGTTTCATTAATGAGCAATATAGATATATTTCCATGGAATATTTCAGCAAGTGGCCTGAGCTTGTCGCTATTCCAAACCAAGAAACATCTACAGTAGTTTTATAAGTTTCGGAATCTCACTGGAATTGATTCAGATCAATTTTTTTGAGTCACAATTTTTCCAGAAATTTTGTGAACTACTAGGCATTCACAAGATCAGATTACCCTTTAGCACAAAGTTTGTTTAATAGAATGAAATTAAAATTTTGTAATTAATATACTATATCCTGTATTCTGAGGCGGTATGCGGTATGCCAGCTGCCAGTCCATTTTTCTTTTAGAAACGGTCTGCCGAATTAAAATGTTTTTAGTAACACGAAATTGCATCCAGAGCCCGGCCAGATTCTGAGAATCTAGTTGTTTGAGTCTAGAGCTTGTCTATTATAGAAATTCTTTTATATTCGGATAAATAGATACTTATAGATAATTCCGGAATACTGTGTCGTCTTCGTCTATACTTAGCACGTACTCTACGTTGTTTTTTGTTTTAGCATTGTCTTTTAGACTATAATGTCTTCCGTAAGAGCAACCACGCCTAAAGCTTCTTGGTCGCCTAGGCCCTCCTACACGAATTCTCGCAAAGCGACATAGTTTTACCTTGCTCTTCAAAAGGCACCTTCTCACGCTCACGAGGCGAACTTGATTGTTCAACTTTAGTTGCTCAGTTCAAACCAAATGAAGTGTTGTCAAAACCTATATTTTTATGTTTATGGATGAAGTTGGGTTGATTCCACAAAAGCTTAACCCATTCAAACTTTATCGTTCAAGAAATGAATCCCATAACAAGTTTAGGCCTACTGATTCATAAAGCATGTGAATATCAAGCAAGTCGTTCATATAAAGTTATTTGGAAATTTAGTTTTGGTGGAAGTTCTTGTCACACCACTGTAGCTAGTTTCTTGATACGTTCCTGAACTTTCAACAGTAGTGCATTAAATTTTTCTTCAGATATTTTAATATGATTTCTCTATTCTTCCGTATCCTCTAAAGCTAGTTCATTCATTCGATTAATATACAAGTAGCTATTTCCACTAGTTTTATTTGCGGCACTCGCTCCTTCATTCATCATAACGATACTCGTCTAGTAAAAACACCAATATTTGTTAACTTGTTGCTAGGAAATTTCTGACCTGATCGTATCCTGATGATACTGCACCCAAATTCTAAAATGCTGGAACTGTTCTGCTGCATCTTCAATCAAACAAAGTTCCCGAAATAAATCAGCCAAGTGATCGGCTCTGGCTGCAATAAAGTTGCTAACACCAAACACGATAAGCGATGGTATAAGAAAGCATGTGTGCAACGTGCAACCTAGGCATTGGTATATTAAAATTAAACGTTTCGTTAGTAAGGTAACCTCATCTTCAGGAGGCCAAAAAATGGGGATTAATATTCCGCATGACTTATGATCTGGAATCTAAAATAATTTTTATTTGAAATACATATGTAATCTTTTGAGTAATTTAACTCACCTTATTGCAACTGCTTTCTTGTATCAACACCAATATTAATGCAAATATGATACCAAGAAATGAAGAAATAATACAGAGAATTGCCATCTTTTCTTGTTGCTTCCTGATTTTGTCAAAGTTTGGTGGTTTTCCGAATTTATTATGATCAGCGATTCGATTGAAAATCACAGACCATTTTCGATGATTTATTGCGAATAATGCAGAAGAGCTCATGCAGCAGGCGACTATAGTGAAAGGACTTAAAACACTTGTAATTTGACTTGGCGCTTTAGCTGAAACATCTAATGGTTTTTTTTTTCAAATTTTTTGGTTTGAAGAATCTACTTACAAATAAACTCATTGATCAGCGTGGCACCAATATTTAATAGATTTGCTCCCTGGACCAGCATCCAAAATACCAAAATAACAAAAAAATATCTGATATTACAAATTTGAGTAGGATACATCCCAAAAATACTCAGATGCGAAAGATAAGCATAAAAAGGTAAGCCAGCCTTGATTGGGTACAAAACATCGTTATCCATTATAGCGTGAAACTGAACATACCTATCTATGTTTGAATATTATTTATTCAGGTTTAAAATATTAAATTTTAAATTACACATGAGGTTATTTTTTCTGTTACAATTTATGTTTTTTACATGAATATTTCATAATATGGAAAGAAAAATTATAGTATCTACCTAAAGTATCTTTAACATTATTGGTATTAGGAAAAACATTCTGGATATGAATAAGTGCAATAGGGACACGTAATTTTTTCGAAAATTATATATGTTTAAAAAAAGGTAGGTAGTTGGCAACTTTTTTAAGATCACTTTTGTCCCACATAAACCTGGAGCTGCCCTTCGAAGAAAAACCATTTTTGTCTCTTCTAGGATCATATCTGAATAATTTGTTGGTCTTTAATGAATGTTCGTAAACAAAATATATGCTATACATATACTGAATGCATAGAGGCTATCCTGAGGTTTCCTCTAGAGATGGGTTGTTATTTAACTATCTGTTATTTGGTAACTGTTATTTCTAAATAACAGTCAGGAACTGTTGTCGATAATGAAAAATAACAGGTTTCTGTTACAATTTTGGCACACGGGAATTTTTTATTTATTCAAATTAAATAACATAACCTAACAATTGGATAATAGATAATATAATGATTATTGCATATTTTTTCCTTTTTTAATTTCGGTTAGGGCTTTGGAAAAAGAGAATCACGTCCAGAGGATGCGAGGAGAGTTTTATATTCATAAGCAAAAAACCAAACTCCCATTATTGAAATTTTTTTTTCAATTTAATTATTTATTGAAAGATAAAAATAAATTATGTACAATCAACGCTACAATGAACAAAATAAAAATAATCTCTAATCTTTGGTTCATAGGAACAAATCAAATTTAGTTAGTACTAAAAAAATAACTACATAGGTATAAGCACAGAAAATACACGAGTTCACACTCAGTGTAAACTATATTTTCTGTGGTATATAAGGTGGTATAGGATATAGATAATAAAAAATTAATATATAGAGTGAGTGTTGCCATCTATCAGGAAAAAGTTGAAGATACATAATAGCAGCAACCTGTTATTTTAAACTGTTATTTGAAAATAGTAGTAACAGTTACAACTGTTATGCCAAAATAACAGTTCGGACCCATCTCTAGTTTCCTCTGCTGATATTGTAGTGAATGAATAGTTTTTTGGTTCGAAACTAGACATATGCTCCCTATTAAATAGTTTACCAAGTTAACAAGTCGAGAATACTTTTTAAAAAACTTTATTTCAACTTGGTAACAATATTTGGATAAAAATAAAAATACAATTATAAATTGAATGCTTTCAAATGACTGTAAATCTAAGCAATACAATATAAAGTTAAAGTCAGCAGAAAAAGTGATTACTCGGGATCTTCGGGTCATTCAACTCCTCCGTCCTCAGATTCAACTATCGGCCTAGTTGAATGTCCGTGTCCTCTTCTTTTCTAGGGGTTGGTACTTTCTTCTTAAATTTTGGAACAATTTTCTTGTATGCCAAAATTATACAGTCAAGAATTAATAGGATGTATATTCCCAAGGACCATATACTGGGATTTGTTTCGATTTGGCCAAATAGTAAATCCGGTTGAACCTTGGTTGAACCTTGGTTGAACCTTGGTTGAACCTTGGTTGAACCTTGGTTGAACCTTGGTTGAACCTTGGTTGAACTTCTAAAATCTCGTTCTGAAGTTTGTGTAGCTCATCCAGCTTCAAGTCGTGTATATGGGTACTTAAATTCAACGTAGGCAACAGAGTTGGCGTTTCTTGAATATCGGGAAGCAGTAAAGGTTGACTGCTACTTCTGACTGATTTTTTAATGTTGGAGATCAGTTTCGATTTTGTTTTGACTTGGCAACCTTCGGGAATGCTGCATAGGTAGAAAATGCTTCTGGTTTCTTCCTGGTTGTTACATTTGATTTGGATGGTTTCTTTGGATGGAGCGATCATTATCCATTGATTTGTGTCGGCTAGTCGGTTCGTAAGAGGCTGTGTAATTTTTACCTCTGTTTGTTTGCATATTGAAGTGTTTTTATCAGTTCATTAACCTGATGGCACAGGGCATGTCTTCTTGGATTTCTTGGAGATTTTCGTTTTCACATACGTAGTACTGAGGGATGACTCTTTGACATTCTTCTTGTTGGTAGGCGTAATGCAATTGATTTTTTAGTAGAAATTTGTTCCGCGGTTAAACAACCTCAAACCGACTCATCAAAAATGGGTATTGAGTAAATATGAAAATATTGAAAAGACTGAAGAAACATTATAGGTATGTGCAGAAGGTACTTTATTTTGTTGTTGGAAATAAAACAGTCAAAAGAAATATTTTTTTCATATAATAGGATGCTCTCTAGATTCACTGGTATAGGCATTTATTTGTTCAATACCAAATTGATTTTGCAGTCTAGTTAATTCGTTGAATAAGTCTTCAGATTTTAGTATGCTCGGGTGCATTGTTTTAAGTTTAGAAAATGTAATCGAATTTTCGATGTCTTGCAATATAATAAAGGCTATTTGATTTATTTTAGAATCTAACAGTTTCTCATTATGGCTAATTTCGTTGATTGTGTGATTAAATCTATTGATAACCGATAAAGATAGGGACTTTTCTTTCAAAATGTTTGTTTGGAGAATTTCTTGATTTTTTGCAGTTCTCTAATTATTAAGCGCAACAAATAAAAAGTACCTTGCGGTGTAGGGGGTTCTCATCATATGCGGCAAACACTTTATTAACACAATTTCATGTTTCTTTTTTTGTCTAAAGACCTACAGCTGTATGCAAAATCCTCTTCACAGAGTCCTATTTTAACTTTGAAAGTGACTTTGAAGGCTGTCACTTTCAAAAATTTGTATTTACCTATGTTACTAACCTATCCTAATGATACTAAACTAACCTATCTTAATGTTAATTAATTATAACCAATTTTAAGCGAATAACCAAACGAGATTGGTTTTTACCATTTCGGATTGGTATTTACCACAACATTTATGCGACTTTGGTTTTTCTTTTGGTTATGACTCCGCGACGTCATGGATCAGCTGTAAAATGTCATACTTATCACCGCAAAATTGCGGTTTTAACCGGTTTTAACCCAGTTCGGGAGTGGTTTTTATTTTGCGGTTATTATTTGAATTGTTGACATTACATTTTTGGCCGGTTTTTAGCAATTTGTTCACTTTTTTTAGCAGTTTGTTTGGTATTATGAAATAAAAAAATGGCCAGAAATTATGGATAGGTACTTCAGATTCTTTTTCCCTAAGCATAAATCATGAAGGTGCGGATTACCAAATACAGGTTTGGAGAAGGGTCGGTATTTCAATGTCACCTTAAGGTACAAAATAATCGTTAAGTCATCTTTAATACAAGTTTCACCATATATCAAAGTTCTCCTAATTCAAGGTGAATCTTAAGCCACCTGAATGAACTGATTTCAAGTTCACCTTAACGTTAAGGATACTTATACCTTTGGTAAATCTTGATTTTAGGAAGGTTACATTGAAATACCGGCCCTTAAAAACAGCTAATTTACTTCTTAATGGCAAGTATTATCTGTTTTAATTGATTTCGGTCTCATGTCTTTCCTTTTTTTTTAAAAAAATGCAACAAATTGGTAGATTTCCTAAACAAATAAATTATTTCCGCACTGTCTTCAAAAAAAACATATCTCCAAATAAATACTCAAGTTCTCTCCTTTTTTCCATTTTCCGGCCAGCATGAAATCAAAATTCAAAATATAAACAAATAGCAATAACACAACAGGGGTAACCGCGGTTAATACCAAAGGCGTTTAAGCGAATACAATGAAATGATGTCATCAAGTGTTCTGTCTTCTTGAACCAATGCGCAACCGCGGTTAAAACCACAAAATTGTGGTTATTCCCTTAAAATTGGCTTATATTTACTTAAGCATTATTTTTAGTCGAAAGAATATTTATCTCGCAGTGGACGTTTAAGGTTGTCCATGTGTATTTTATTTTGTGAGGTGGTCGCTACGGTTTTTCTCGTAGGGACAACACTCTCAACTTGTGTAGGCTTATTGAAGGTATCGCCTAATATTTCCTACCAGGTTTTTTGACAAAGACATTTTGTCCTTCAGTAAATAGGCCGGACTGTCACGATTTTCGTTTATTTTTCCTATCACCCGTTCTTTTTTATTGATTAGTTCTTCATTGATTTTCGAGTACATAAGTTTAGTTCTGTCTTTATGTTCGGTGACGTAGTTAGTTAATAGTAGTTGGTCTGGGTTGAGGTTGAAGGGATCATTATTGGTGATATGACCGTTAATAATGTCGATGGGCTTGAATTGAGTTGCGGAATATAATGAGTGATTATATGCTAAAATGGCATATCTCATTTTTTGATTGATAGGTGTTTTGGAATATTCTTGATTATTGAGCAATCTAATATGTTCTGCCAGTGTGGAATGTAATCTTTCGATAACCCCGTTCGATTGTGGATGGTTGGTCGAACAAAAGTGAATTTTGATTTTGTGAAGATGTAATAGTTCTGTTATTATTGTGTTTTGAAATTCGGTTCCATTGTCTGCGACAATTTGTGTTGGAATACCATGATGGGAGAAGAACATGATTAGATTGTCAGCGATTTCGGCGGCTGTTGCAAATCTTAGGTCTGTGCATATTTGGAAAAAGTGTCGATAATTGTTAAAAATTTCTCTTTGTCTACTGTATAAGTATCCAGATGAATCTCGAAAGGTTTGGTCGCGGTTGGGGTGATATTCATTTGCATTTTTACCGGGTGCCTCTCGTATTTGCTTCTTTGGCAAATTTCGCATTCATAAATACATTTTTGAATTGCATCTGTGATATTCAGCCAATAATATTTTTCTTTGATACGT